ATTTGTAAAACGTGTTCAGCTGACATTTCTCGAGGGGGTGTAACTGCAAAGACTTTCACCACTTCGGGATTACTCCACCACTTGAAATCAAAACACCCGGACAAATATGCGGAGTAAGATCAAATCACAAGCACTGACAGCGAGAGACTGTTCAACGCTGCCTCTCATGTGCTTGATGAGAAGAGGAACATACTTATGGCTGATAAAGCAGAGAAGCTAATGTTCATTAAAAAGAACCTCCCACTTTTCCTTAATAAGTAGACAAGGCTGGCTTATCATAAGCTTATCTAGTTCTACATGTCTACTCTATACCCACTTTCCTGAACAATTTTCATTGTGAGTTATAATTCACCATCTCAGGTTATCATTAGGGGGAAATGACAGCAGCACAGTGTTCAATATATTGTACTTTCGGTATCTAAATGATACAATGTTGTTTACATTGCTCATGAGGACAGACCACCTTATTTGCAGATTCTTGAAATTGTAATTTAATTTGTAATTGATTGTGGATTTTGTATCCAGTTTTCACTTTATGTATCTTTATACAATGTTTACTACTTTGCTTATGAGGACAGACAGCCTTATTTACAGATTCTTGAAATTCAATTTTAATTTCATTTGTAAATACTTACATTCATGTGGATTTATCCAGTTTGCACATTTGTATGCATGCACTTATAGGTGCATTTGTTGTTGTTGAAGGCCTGGCTGTTACAGTCTTTATTTACACTATTTTGTTGTAGGCCTACTGGCCTAGATGTTTATGCAGTTTTAAAGCACCTTGGCTTTTGTTCTGAATGCACTTTGTTGTAGTCATCCAACAGAGAAAAGAAAATGCACTTGACTTGGAATTAATTTACTGTATGCATTCAAAAGTGCTGAATAAATGTTTTATGGACCCATAATAGTGATTATTATTTAAGTTAAGTTTTGCCATAATCATGTCTTTTTCCATAATCAGGCAGCTGAACAACATTGGTAAAAAATGTATACATTATATATATATATATTTCTATTAATCATTTTCGGCCTTTCGGCATTCGGTTTTCGGCCAACTGTTTCCTATTTTCGGTATCGGTTTCGCCAAGAATTTCCCATTCGGTGCACCCCTATATGTTACACCTTCAATAAAAAATGGTGTATTCAAATATAAATATCTAAAAATAAGCTAAATGTTTTTTTTATCAAAACTAGGAAAGAAAACAACAAATAATAATACATATAAAAAGCTAAAAAGATTTCACCCCTCTTCTCGGTTCAATTGAGTACAATGAAGCTGATGGGAGGTTGCAGAAACCAGAGGCACTCCAAACTATAAACCTTAAGAACCTGAGTTTGAACGCAAATAAAATGAGCACCAATCAATGTGCATTGCAAAACCAATCTGTTTTAATAATAGAAATTGTGTAATTTCATTTGTTAAACATCTGGAGTTTGAAACAAGACAGGATGCTGACTTGAAGATGTCACCCCCTCCCTCCCTCCTTCCTCCCTCATTCTCCTTTGTCCTCCTCCACATGTACCCGAAAGAGAGATATTCTTATCTGCATTGATGTTAAGTATATTACTTGTTAACTGTGAAAGGAGGTATACTTATGCATAGACGTATGCGCTGAATGTAATTGTCTGGTATCTATGCTGCTGTGTGAATGTTCCCTTCATTTTTGTATTCAATTCATTAGCTTGTTACTGTTCTTCATCTTACATAAAACGATTTCGTCTTATCCTTTCAAAAACCAAACAAAATTCAAAGATGGGAGTGGTTAGCTCTCTTTATCAGTGAAACTGGACATCTGGACAGAAGACAATAAAGACTGCACGCCATCAACAGCTCTTCCTCTACTGACTCTATTCCTCTTCTTCCGATCATCTTCACAATTTATGCAATTTGTGATAAAAAAGTAAACATGCTAGCACATAACAGCAGCATATAGCTTGTGGTAGCAAAAAATAAGCAGGTAGAAACCCAAGAGAAACAAGATATGGATATTTTTGTTTGACCTCATGTTGCTTGAGGACCATATGGGCCCCTTAACAGAGCGCTGGTTCTCCCTGAAGTTCATTGAAATGATAGACTCCAGCCTGTAGTTCCACCACCTTATTCAGATTTTACAGAAAAAATGTAAACTGTTTCTCAAACACTTTGTTCTAACTCTCTAAACTTCCGTGCTCTCGTTATGTTGGCCTGTGGGGAGAATCCTTCCATCTGGCATGATTAAGTAGGCTACAGTAAAGTGTACTTTAATTGTTTGTTACAGACTTATCCTGCAGTATTACATGACTACATGCTGTTTCTTCCAGAGTGACGGCTCTGTTGCTGGCTTGACTGAAAAAAACCAGGAAGAGAACACTGATGCCTTACAAAACATGACAATGGTATGTGTCATTTATTTTATTCTGCATTCAAAATAAGATGCACACGCAGGGATCACAGTGTTGTTCATGAAGGTGTTTCTATGTTTGTCAATCTTTAACAACCAAAACCTCAGACATGAGCTGAATGTTACTTACTTCTTCAACTTCGATTATAAGATTAGGTTTATTAGATTTTGAATAGAGACCAATTTTAACTGGGCTCTATTGTTGTTAATTTCTCCTAAAGTGTCATTTTGATTTAATAATTAGATCTGGTTTTGTGAGACATTACCATGTATCTATTTCATACAATGACTATTATTTAAAAAGGTTTGGGAGCTACCGGGAGGCTCGTCTAATTGAGCGAGTGAGTATGCACATGTATAGCAATCTATGTGCAGTTAAATGTTGGGTTATGTATGTGATGGTGTGTGAGGTTGAAATTGTGTTACATGTATGTTTTACTTCAGCTCTCAATTTGAAAGGAAGTGGAAAAGAGATAACATTTAAATTGCCATCTTAATGTCAAATAAGTTACCAAGTAAAGGGTTCAAATTGGCTCATATAAATATTTGTAGTCTAAGAAATAAAGTGTCTGAGATAGAGGACATATTATCATGTGTTATTCATTTGTTAGCAATATCTGAAACTCACTTAGATGACCACTTTAATGACGCTGCAGTGGACATTGATGGATACAGTATATTTAGAAAGGAATGCATATGGAGGTGGGGTGGCAGTATACATTCAAAAGCAAATACCAGCTAAAGTGAGATAGGATTCGATGTCTGCTGATATTGAAGTACTTCGGTTGCAAATTCATTTACCACACTTGAAACCTTTGTTGGTAGGATGTTGTTACAGACCTCCAAATGCAAACCTAACTTATTTAGACAAATTATGTGAAATGTTAGATAAAGTTTGCGATCTTGACAGAGAGATTTATTTTATCGGAGATTTAAACATTGACTGGAATATGTTGCACTGTGCCCTTAAAAACAAGCTGCAGACAATAACTACAATGTAACTTGGTACAAATGGTGACTAAACCTACTCGGATATGCATAAAGAAAGATGGGTCAAAAAGTACAACTTGTATTGATCATATATTCACAAAATGTTGCCATTTATGTTCACAGGCAATATCAATTCCAGTATATGTATTGATCATAATTTAATCATTATCGTGAGAAAGACAAAGGTGCCAAAAGCTGGACCAAAAGTTGTTGTGAGGAGATCAATTACATATTTTTTGTGAAGAGTCATTTATACAGGATGTTCAAAAGATACAATATGTTGGAAACATGTTTTTGAGAAAGTCGATCCAGATGATGCTCTTGATGTATTTAATTTGTTATTTATGCAGGTGATTGATAAACAGGCTCCACTTAGAAAACAGACAGTAAGGAACTTTAGAGCACCCTGGTTAGATGAGGAATTAAGGCAAGGCAAGGCAAGGCAATTTTATTTATATAGCACTTTTCAGTGCGTGGCGATTCAAAGTGCTTTACAGATTAAAAGCAAAAGACATTTAAGAACAAATACAGCATAAATAAATTATTAATTAAGAGATCTAATGAAGAGATGATGCAAAACATGTAGCTCTCTCATCAAGTTATGAGTCAGATGGACATGTATAGAAGGTTAAGGAATTATGTTACAGCATTAAATAATAAATAAATAAAAACAATTGTATTATGGAAATAAAATTAAAGATATAAAGGATGATAAGAAAAAGCTGTGGAGTTTAGTAAATGGCATGATGGGCCGTAAGCCGATATCCACCTCAACATATCTTGAGGTGGAAGGGACATTGACTAAACCAGTCCAAATTGCTAATTATTTGAATGATTATTTTCTTGATAAAGTGAATCGTTTGAGGAGAAATATGAATCAAACTATTAAAAGTAACTCCACATGTCTAATAAATGATTTAATTATCTTTTTGTTACGCTAGTTTTTTCCTCCTTGTGAGCGCCTTTTGTTATTTCCACCACCAACTCTGTTCAGAGGGATTACCTGAACTGTATAAATAAATATAAAAATTTTTATATTCAAGACTTTGTCTCTGGGTCGTGCATTTGGGTTCATCAGTTTGTGTCGAGGTCCTGACATGATAGATGTTAAGGACTAACATTTATAATAAATACATTTGTATTGATTTTAAGATATTTTCATACAATCATACGTATTGGGATCACTTGTATTAATGCGGACCGGAGGGAGAGGGTGACGAGCATAAGTTTCACTTTCCTTTTTTATTTCAATTCCAACTTTGGTCATGAAGAATATGTTTCTCTGTTGTCCACGTTCGTAAAGCATAAAGCAACAGCATCAGAGCACGGTGCAGAGTCTCTAGATGAGTTTACAGTAGGGATGGGCATCTCCATCACTGAGGCCGATGCCGATACGTTGCCACGATACGATACATTAACGATACATTTGAAACACCAGGCGATGCGATACGATACGATTCACCCCTGTTGCGATACAGTTCGATACGATTTGATTCAACATTATGCGATACGGGGCGATATGATGCGATTCAACACGGTGCAAAATAATGATACAATTCAACATGGTACAACAGAGGATTTTGCTTTATTCCTTATTGACCAGCATTAACAATGTGCAAAAAACAATTACCATATAGCAATGGCCATACAACTGCCAGACTGATGCACATGACACTCATTCAGTAGGCTAACTCACCAGTGAGCAGAAAGCAGCGGTTTTTATATTATTAACATATAAAGAATACAAATAACCTTTCAAAAATTGGTCTTAATAACATTTAAACTATTATTGGCAGTCACAGGCTGCTGTAAAAATAAAAACCACTCTCACTGACATAACACCTCACTGAGCTTAACTAATATGTCTAGCTTGTAGGTTTTTCTTAAGGAATATAAGTTGATCAACATGATCAGGATGAAGCAAGCTGTCACTATGTCACCGGCTGTACTAAACACTCGTTCAGAGGGTACACTTGTTGCAGGGATGGACAGGTAGCTCTTTGCCAATGTTGAGAGCAGTGGAAGATCCACTTGTTTTTTCCACCACTGCAACACATCACCACTCAAACCTAAAGCATCCCTCTCCCTGTACTTTAAGATTTCCTCCTTAGCTCTCTCCTTTGTGGTCTTTACTGGTGATCTTGCAGGGAGGAAATCACCGAACATCTGGTCCAAGGCCATCTTCTTCATGGGAGGGACATCATCTAGGGAGTGGAAAAGAAGAGAAGAGAAGATTTTTAGATTTAGATTACAAAAATGATGACATACAATACTATAGTATACACCCATTTTCAAATCAATACACTTTTATAACTTTTGGCACAGTTCCTATCAAAACAAACCTGTCTCTTCTTCCTCTCTGTGGGGGCTCCTGTCACCTTCTGTTTCAGCTGCCTGGTCCTCATTAAGTGTATCACCATCCCCTGCCTGACAATAATCAGCACAGATTAGCTATTAAACTAAACAAGTAAGCATCAGTTAAGTAAGCCACAGGTAAATAACAGTGAAAGTGAGACAGACACTAGCTACATTATATTGAGTAGTATATTCTTACCTGTCCATCCATCTTCACCACCTCTGCTGTTATCCTCATGAATATCATGTCCTTAGTTTCATTGTCATCCAGGAAAGCCAGGTCTTTGAAGCGGGGATCCAGTGCTGAGGCGTAGTGGAGGAGGTCTTGGAGATATGTGTAGCGACCATCAAAGTCCAGTCTGAATCGCTCCTTCATCTGGGAAATGACCATATGATCGCTCTCATCTGGCTGGAACTGCCTCCGCAGTTTGGTCTGGATTGGGGAGATCTTGAGATGGTGGAGTTTTTTTCCTCACTGAGGAGTGGAGTTGCTACTTTCAGGGAGGACATCAATTTGATGACCTCTGGGATTAATGTCATGTTATCCTCTGTCAGGCTGGCCATGGCTTCTCCCCTCCTTATCTTCTTTGACAGCAGGGTGTTCAACACAGCAGGCTGCTGTTCCCAAAAACGCTCCAACATGTCCAGGGAACTGTTCCACCTTGTGGAAACATCATGCACTAGCTTGTGGTGAGGTAGGTGCAACTGGATCTGCATTTCACGGAGAGCTTCAGTTGCTTTTGGGCTTTTGTGGAAATAAGTCACCACCTTCCTCATTTTCACCAGAAGCTATGACACCCTGTCCACCTTCAGGGCTTTTTGGGAGGCCAGGTTTAGTTTGTGTGCGTGATGCATCGCACATGTGGCTCCATCTGTGCACCAACTCAAGCCAGTATCATGTTTCTAGCATTATATGTGACCAACGCTGGATTCTTTTCTTCAATCTTCCACTCACGGCAAACTTCTTGCAGTAACACTGCTAGATTATTTCCTGTGTGGGCCTCGTTGAACACTCTGGTCTGCAGAACATGGTTTTGCAATACCCACTCGTCATCAACATAGTGGGTCAGTGTATGTTTTGGTCATTGGATTTTCTTTTCATAAATGGATATTCAAAAACAAAAAACTACTGGATATTTAATTTTCGTTTTTTTAAATTGAAAAACCAAAATTGTAATACAAGGCGTTTTTCTTTATCATGGTCAAAAAGGGATTTACTAAACTTAAAAAACTGGATGATTTTCATGTTCTACTTCTCAAAACAAAAAATAAAATCACTAGAAAACAGACAACAAAAAAACTACAGTTTTTTCATATTCTGCTACCGGAAGTTACCTTACAAAATAAGAGCGCAGACGAAACTCACGAAAGTGATTGTATCCTACGGGCTCCGTGTACGTTTTGGGTCAAGTGTTTGTTTTGGTCATTGGATTTCTTTCAGAAATGGATATTCAAAAACAAAAAAGACTGGATATTTGATTTCGTTTTAAAAATGAAAAATCTAAAATTTAAATACAAGGCGTTTTTTTATCATCCCAAAAGGGATTTACTAAACTTAAAAACGGGATGATTTTCATTTTTCTACTTCTCAAAACAAAATTAAAATCACTAGAAACAGAAAACAAAAAAAACTACAGTTTTTTCCTATTCTGCTACCGGAAGTCACCTTACAAAATAAGAGCGCAGATGAGGACGGTTCAAGCCGTTGTATCTACGGTCCATTGTTTTTCACAACTAAAAACGGCCAAGAAACATATTGAGCCCAGAAAATGAATGTTATTAAGGATGTAAATATAACAGGCCTATGTCTAAAATGGACCACATTGTTAGGAGATTTCAACTATACAGCGATTCTGCACTGCGGTCACCTCAGCCGTCTCTCGAGTTTGTTATTCATTTTTTCTGCCATTAGTCCTTCGTGAGATTGGACACTGTTGGAACTCAGTAGGCTAGTAGTGGAAACACTCACACAAGTACTATGAAGTACTTACTGTGTACTTTTTGAGTAATCCTCTATCAACTGTCCCCTCCTGAGAAACAAGGAATGCATGTTTTTCTTGGCTATTTTGAAATCAGCGTTAAAACACCTTTCTTCCTGAGACTGATAATTGTGGACAGAGAATTTTAAGAGGATACTGGTAGACATAGATATCAGCAATACTTCCAGTCAGTAGTGCCGGCAGCAGCATTTCTACCCTGGAAAGTCCTTGCCCGAGCTAATTTAAATGACTTTGGTTTAAAGTTAATAACAATATTGATGTTATATAGAATATGTAGCATAATATAAGGCAGGGGTGCCCCAACCGGTAGATCGATTCGAGGGGAGATTCGCGCAGTCGATCGCGAGATGTGTCTAAAAATAGAACAACAATATTCTGGTTTATCGTTATGTCCTATAACATAAATCTTCCTGTGCCAGAATAATGCACTCGAACGCATCAAGCCTTTGTGATTGGCCGGCGTGACCCCATGTGTCGGGGCGTGCTGGTGGGCAGGGCAACTGGAATTTGCCTGAGCCGTTTGTCCGTGTCAACATGGAGTGATCATTCCGCAATGCGAGCGTGGCTTTACGAGAACGGGTTAATTAAGGAAGGGGCGCATTTCAATAACAGTGCACAAAATGGTCGACGCTACGGGAAAGACGGAATTCCCTCTAATTCTGCCCTACGCTCCCAAGAAGGTGAGGACTGAAAGGAGCAGCTAAAATGGTCAACAAGCAGATTCCGATTTTCAACCAGGCCCCAAACAACAAGAGCAAGGCTGCTACCATAGCAATCCTCAATCCATGTCAGTCAGCGTCTTGCGAAACACATGAAGTCTTTCAAAGACGGGCGAAGTTGTGAAAGAAGCATTCCGGAGGCTGCCGACGCGCTTCTTGGGGGACAGTAAAAAATAACAGTAAAGGCATCTTCAAAGCAGGTTTTTGATATAGCAGATAAAAACTCCAAGTTAGATACC